AGGAAGCTGTTACAGAGAGCTGTCAGTGGGACTGGATTCTGTATGGCTACAGAAGAAGAAAAAGAAATCTAAAATTCAAGTGCAGCTTTTTTTTTTTTTTTTTTTTCCTTAAAGCAGGCACTAACTTAACAAAAAGACAGACTTGAAAAGAGATGGTTATAAAGCTACAAAATTATCAGGTAGAAATAACTCATTAGAATTGCTAAAATGCCAAGCTGTAGTTAAAGACACAGGAAAAAAAAAATCAGCAAGTGGTGTAACCAAGTAATTGGCAGAACTCTCAGCTTAATTTATAACACATTAAAATTTAAACCTTTTAATGTATTTTAGGACTAAATAATTATCAGCAAATATTTAAATTGTAAATTTGTAACAATTTTCTGATACTACTCTTTCTGAAAAAATCTTACTTGTATTATAGTGAGGTTTGAGTATCAGGTTGTGGACAACACAAGGACAGGCTCCTCCAAATCTAATTATTAATGGCATTATTGAGTTCAACCAGATGTTTCACATGGATAAAATTAAGTACACGAATAAATCAAGATCCATGTGCAGGTTTAGATTTGACAGAAGATAAAGAAAGGTGAAACAAAAAGTAATGAATACAGTTAATGAAAAACTATGTATTCCTGGTTGTTAATGTAATTTGAAATTTAAAATTCAGAGTGTAACAGGTCTGTTAAATGATTCCTCTGCTGACAGACACATGAATGTTTCTCACATCATCTTTCCTCCTGGATTCTGTCTGCCAAAGTTTTGCCAGCCTCAGTACTAAATCTTCCATGGCTTCCCGAGGTAATTACATAAGACATAAGCATACTTTGAGTGTACAAAATCCAGCTAATGAGCTACATGTCTACTAACAATGTCAGGATTTCAAGTATTATCCTAATGGGTAAGTCTTTATGGAAAGTATGTAAGTGACAGGTAGTGTGCATAATTTAAAATACAGTACATACTCTTCCTCTCTAAAAATGTCAGATCACTTGCATCTAATCAGCAGCAAATCAGACATTAAACAATAAGAAATTAAAATCTAGTATTATGAGAAAAGGAAGAAGACATTGAGAAATAAATCTATTTCTAACCAGAAAAAAAAAGATTTTAAGAACAATTTGATCATAAGTTATTCCTGCAAAAGAATCAAAAGTCTATAGTAGTGTCTATTTAAACACCAATCTAAGCCAGTAATTACAACTGTACTTCTACAATAATCCACAGAGTCACGAATTAACTTGAAATGTGTCTGGTGTTGCTGTGGTAGTAAGATTAGCTGAAAACACGGACTGAGCAGATCAAGGCTCTGGACCAAGGTGGCACAGAGGAAAATGTGGAGCGTGCAGTTTGCACTCCCTCTACTGGGCACTGGAATTATCCTGGGCAGGCACTCAGAGAGGAAAGGCTCCTGTCTGAGCACCCTGCTACCGTGAAATAAAAGCCTTTTTACAGGTCCCACCCTCTTCACCTGGATTCAGTCAAAATCCAGATTTACAGAAAAATTAATTTCAAAACCCTCAAAATATTTATACCGTCAGAATTAATTTCCTGTCAGAAGCCTGACACTCCAAACAAGGACTTAACTACAGTGAACATAACCCTTGTAAGCACACAAAAACTCATTTGCCTTTAACCAACACGTAGTCTGCAATTTTTTTTGTCCACCCTCCACCCATTTGAAAAAGTAACAGCTAGTAAAAAATGCCTTGACTTCTGATCTACTGGGGGCAGAGCCCCCAGTGGGGACGGGGAATGTGTGGACCAGGCAACTGAGATGTATTAATAATTGTAAAATCTGTTGCAAGAGATTTGTTTCTGGACAGTTAAAGGATAACCTTTGTTTTTCTTTTCCCTCTCCTCCCACAGCTCCTGAGAGGCAAGCACAAAACACAGGCTGCTCGTGCTGGCAGGGTGTAAGTGTCACATAGAAATGATGGCCCTCCTTGTAATTAAAACTCTCTGATGGTTTCTGTTCTTCACCCTCATGGAGGAGAAAAGTAAAAGTGGTTATAGCTCATGTCACTATAAACCATTTCAAGTCAAAGTGTCTCACTATATAAAGTTCTGTGTTTTCCTTCAAGAGACTTTGTATAAGAGTAGTTCCCTAAACCTCCACAAAGTTCTCCTGTGGTTTGAAAAGCAGTTTGACACTTTGTTTTTCAGTAAAGATAAAGGTAAAAAAAGAACTTCAGAGAAAGTAACTTGTGCTAATTGTGTAACAGGCTCTGATTGCCAAAGGCACGTGTCTTGGAGGCTTGTGCTCTGTGATATGGAAAATGAAATGAGAAACAATGGAAAGCATGGATGTAATAATAAGGATTGCCCAAAGCACACACAGGCCACATAACCACCAATTTCTTGCTCTCAGTGTAATTTACATCAAGCTACACTGCTGGCACATTCATATTAAACTACTGCATCAAGAATTACTCCAGATATATAGAATTATTTGCATTTCAGCTATATCCATGTGCAACTGATAGCTAAAAAACAGCAGCAATGACACATGGCAATTGTAAGGCAACCAGGACCTTCCCTTTTTAAAGTGGCAATTTAAAACTGTGGGATTGAGAGTTATAGTAGAGTTCACAGTAATAAATCTCCAGTTTCATTGTCTCTCACTAACCTCTTCCCTTTATGAACTTCTTGATCTCAGTTTGAGGATGGGTAAAGCCTTTAGTCCCTCTGTTCCCAGACAGAACAGAAACGAAACAAAGAACAGAACAGATGAAAAGGGGGAAAATCAGTGACCCCAGAAGCATGGAGATTGAGCAAAAAGAAAATGCAAAAGGTCCCAGGAGAATGGGCAAGCCCAAGCCCCCAGCCAAGTTGGCAAGTCCCTATCACTCTGTTTTATATTTGCTAATTAAATAAAACCCCTCCCTGAAAGGATGGTTTGCTGTGGTGCAGGACCATAATGACAGTCGAAATGAGCAAGTACACAAACAATTCACCTTTACATTCTCCAGTAAAGGAAGGATACAGCCACCTCAGAGTGCAGAACTGCCATCCTATCCAAGCACAGACATGGCACAGAGCACCTACAAACTAATCCATGGGACCCTCTGCACTCAGCCAGTGATTCACATTGTCCCTCTCTGCTCACTGAACACTCCCCTTCATCTCCAGTGTGCTCGTCTCCCCACATGAGCAGGTCCAGCACTCACTTTGTGCCAGCAAATCCCATCTGTAAAGCCTTGGAAGAACAGGGTGGCTGGGAGCCAGGCCTTTGCAGGACACACACTTTGCTGTCACTACTTCTTCTTTTGGCCTCAGAGATACAGAAGGCAGCAAAACTGGCACGGCAAGAGCTACAGTTCCAAGGACACCTGGACAAAGCCACATACCTAACACAGGCAGCAATGCTCAGCTGAAGAGGAGATGTGTGCAGTGTTTCACATGCTGACATGTAAATATTTGACAGATGGGGATTCAATAACCATGGCCTAAGAGATTCTGTTTATTTTGTTCTACTAGACTCCCAATTTGCCATGTTTTTATGTTTCAATAAAGTCATCTGACACATGAATAAAATATAATTTATGTCGTTTCCTTCTGCTGTACAAAGCTCTCTGTGTTCAGGTTATAAATTTAAAATAGCTCAGCACTAACACTAAATTTGGTTATTTTCCACTGGAGAGAAACCCTAGGAATATTTATATATTGTTCTCAATGCTTAAGTTAATTCAGTCTGCATTGCTTCATTTTGAAAGTACTGTGAGCATCTTTTAGTCTTTATTTGCTTTCAAATTAATATAGGTATTAGTTCTAAACATGTTATATAAGCATAGAGATAGCATTGGTTACTCTCCTTAAGTGGTAACAATACCACTCTAAAAACACACACACATGCACATTCACACACACGAAAATCAAGGCTCGAATGTCTTTTCTATCTTACAAGAAATATAGCAACCAATATTCCATGCAGAGGTGCAGCAAATGAAGTCCTGTCAAGCAAATGGCAGGAATGACAGCAGATGTCTGGATTCCTTCATAGCTGGTTGCATAAAGGTAGCACACATATTTCACTGGAGACAAAAGCCTCTGACAAGACAGTCTTTCAGTACTTTTCATTCAGAGTTGGCATTTTTGACTGGTGTGGCACATCAGGAGGTGTTAAGATGATGCACCAGATTAATCTTGATTTAGCTTCATTTGTACAATGAAGGCAAAGTCTACAGCACTCAGTCATGGCTAAATGAGGCTACACAATTTAGCTCAAGGTGTTATGTCCAGATCAAATTCATAAAATCCAGTAAATCCAAACCATTCTAGTCTGGACTCTGACCCAAACCACATATTTCCATGTCAAGCTATACAGTTAATACATTTCATCACAGCCAACAGAAATTAGTATCATGCAGCTCTGCTCTTCATTTACATAAATAGGCCATAAACTCCTTTTTGGATCTGAATAATGTATTTGATCTTTCAGCCTACATTTACCCACAAAGCCTACCAATTTCACAAGAACTGTCATAGGTACAGTGAATCTCAATCTCTATGAAATAGTTTGATGCTCTAAATTTTCCTGTGATAACCTTAATCACATTACATGTTTAGTACAGAGTAAATGCTACAAAGCAGAGAAACTACTTTCCTGGTCTGAGAGACTCTTGGAGTTTAGCAAATTGTGAAAGAACATGAGTAGTACAGTGTCTATTGAGAAACATGCACAAAAGCAGCTGAGGATTTAACAATGTTACACATAAAGCAACTAAGAGTAAATACAATCTGCACTTACCCACTTCTCAATCCTAAACAACAACAGGGATGCTTTAAACAGTTTTGGTCTAATAACCAGGCCACTGGAATATTATATAGGTGTTTACTGCTCCTTAAGGGAAGCTACAATCAGCTGAATTAATGTACTTTACAAAAAAACCTCTGCTGAAAAGTTTACCAGGTTAGAGTTTAAGAGAAAGAGCATTTTTCTGTATACAAGTTAAGCTTTACTAATGGTCCTCTCTAGTAAAACAGAATTTTAAGAAACTCACCACTTTTCTTTTTCTTGCTTTAAAGGAAATGTCTATTTCCTTGTATTTCTTCATAGCAGTCTCCAATTTATTCTTGAGTTCAATGGCACATCTTAGCCGATCATCATTGATGCCTGCTCTGGTAAGTAGCTGCAAACCAAGAAAACAACAGTCTTACTTTCTTCTAGAAGTCTGAGCCAAAATATATTTCCAGTTTCCCCTCATAATTAATGAAAAAACATCACAAATTCTGTTGTTGTACAAGTGACAATTAGTGAAGCCAATTCATTTTCTATCTAGACTATAAAAACTAATAGCAACTAGTGAAGCCAAAGAATGAACAACAAAGATCTTCTGAAAGTGCCCTCCAGTAAGCCAAATTCCACTCAGGAGGCTCCATGATATACTGCAACCTGACAGAGAGAAGTTTAACAAAAATAAACTGTGTTTTACTTTGAGACTCTGCAACGAAGCCAAGTCTTACCTATCTCAAAAAAAAAAAAAACCAAAAAAAAAAAAAAACAAAGAACTGCCTATAGGTACCACACCCAAGGCTGAGAGCTTATCAAACAAGCCACATAGCTCCTGCAGCGTCCTTTAGTCCACCCTCACTGAAATGGAAATCCTCTCTAATTGTTCCTGTTTCTCCAACCCTTCATTTCCTTTTGGCTCACTCACCCTCAAGGCCTACTGTATCCCAGTCCTTGTTTCACCATCTTTTTATTAAAAAAATGAAGAAAAATAATTCTCTTTATCCCACCTGAATCCAGGACTGCACAGAAGGCCAGAACTTATTTCTGAGAAGTTTGTGAGCATCCATGACACTGTTTATGATGGCAGTATTATCTTCATTCTCTTGCACTTTTATATCTGCTCAAAACAAGGGAAAATAGTTAGTGCATGACATTTATGGTATCTTCACTACAGGAGCTAAAGAAGGCAAATTACTCTAAGACATTTGATCACTTCAGGGAGACTTACAAACATCAGAATGCTTCTCTGCTCAGTATTAATTAGTCTTTTACTACCCACATACTCAAAAAAATCTGAGGAAAATATGAAAACTGTTCAGTCCAGCACGCCAGAAAAGGTTGTTAAGCCATCATTCCTAAGGAAACACCAAATAAACCACAGAGAAGTTCAGTCTAACTATTTTCATTACATCTTGTCCCAAGTTCATATGAACAGGGTCTTATTGTACCAAGTTCTTCATATTCAATACAAAATAATCCCTACCCTGGCAGTAACAGGGACTTGGCTGCCAAAGAAGCCAGGTATGCCATTATCCAAGTAAAAATTATACTTTTCACCCATTGTTGTCAGCAAACAGAGAAGCAGATATCACCCTTACTGTCTGTACATGGAATTCCCTTAGGACAGGAATTTTAAGAGACTTCCAAAACACAAACCATCCTGATTTTGGTACAGGTAACTCACACTAGCAAAGTTATTAAAAAAAAAAAAAAAAGGTGTAATCACTTGCTAGCAAAACTACATACTTTCTTGCAAGGAAAAATTTTCAGAAATACACAATTGTAAGATTTTTAAACTAGCAGCTTATTCCCCAGCTACAGAGAGAAAGAGGCAAATAGCAAAGAGAAAGAAAACTGTATTTGATGAACAGATTGTTTTTAAACACAAAAGACTCATTATAGATACTATGAAGTGCTATAATGGCTTGCAACAACTATTACAAAAGTTCAGTCTTATAAGGTAATTAATGAAATCTGCTAATCACACACAAGGACACACAAAACTAAAAACTAGAGGAACCAGAAACAGAAAAATAAAATATAAATAAAGCAAAAAAATTAAAAAGAAAAATGGAAGTGGTGTCCAGGAATCCCAAAGCAAAATGGTATCCAGTAACCCCAGCATTTAAGTAACAGAAACAAAACCAAAAACCACAAGCACAAAACACTTCAGAGAAAGGCTGCCTCCAGCTACATATCAGAAGTTGTTTCAGGTACCTGTGGATATTTCAAGGTCAAGAGTATATTTATGTGAAACAAGCCCATGGTTCCTAACAAAAGTCTGGTAATCATCATCATCGAGAGCAGGGCCACTGAATGGAATGTCCGAGCCTGTGCCTCCATCCAGCTCTTCCTGCTCAGGCTTCTCATCTACCTCTTTGTTTCCATCAGCTGCAACACACTGAGACACAGGAAGGATGTCCTTGCTGCAGCATGGCTGTTCATCATCCATGCACCCCAAAGAGGATGGGTAAAGTTCCCCCTGGGAGGACAAGGGGGATGCAGGTCTGGCCTCATTAGCAGATGTTTGTTTGCTGAGCTCCGGGTCAATCTCGTTCACTCCAAAATTGAAAGGATCTGGCATCAGAAGCTGGAAACAGTTTTCCATCTCTGTCAGTGTATCAGCAATCTCTTGGGACATTTCTATCAAGACACAATTGTTTTATAAAGTTGTTAGATACTGTAAAATGTTAATGTCTCCAGAGCAGACGCAGAGGTACAAAGCAAATATGACTGCCAAAGGGGGAATCCATTTCTCCAGTGACAACTGAGCCATACAGATCTTCCTTTTCTGCAGAAATTGTCCTTATAAAAGTGACAATCCCTAAGCAGGAAATCTAGAATTTCCTGAGCCAGGCATGTACAATCAGGACTCCTCCTTATCCTCTCTAAAATTTCATCATGTAATAATGACTCAAGTGCTTCATAGAATTTGAAGGAAAACAAGGCTCAGTGAGATATTCTTAGTGATATTGGTGTGTATTATTTTACAGCCATGAATTTTATAGCTGTGTGTAGGAATAGCCATGAATGTATGTTATTGCTCAAAGAGATGCTACTGATACAATTACTTTAAGAAAGTTAAATCTCTTCAAAATTCCACTCTAGTGCATGAAAACATTTCCAGCATGAAGAATAAATGCAGACAATTGCATGCATTACATACACCAAAGTAATTTAATTAAACAACCCTTTATATCTGCAGCATAATGTACATAGTATCTCTGTTGCTCTTTGGGATGACAGAAATCTGTCTGCTATGCACATATTGCTCAGAGACTCGTGTCCCAGCTACATTTTCTAGCTGCACTGTGACACTTCTCACAGTTATCCTACACTGCATCCAGGATTCCTGTGCAGCCCATTGCCCGTATTTCTGCACCACAATAATTGTATATATAATGTAAGTAATGCCATTTCTGTGCCTAACAGAAATTAAGTCACTAGCTCCAAAAAGTCTCAAGATTCATTTACTTGGGGTGATGCCCTCATACTTTACTGAATTAGAGACCATATATTTACTTGATTACATTTTCTTTCTTTTCCATCTCTTCCTACTGAATTCATATAACAGTCACTTCTTTCCCCTGATATTCCTTAGGTGAGAGAAAGGGAGGGTTGAGCTCCAACAAATGCAGTATTTCTGCTTTCTGTTGTCAGCTACTAACTGGATAGCTAGTCTCAGAAATCATTTTATGCAACCTTAAAAAAAGGTTGCTTTAAAAACAAACAAAAAACCAAACAAAAAAATGCACTTAAAGAACCAAAGCAACCAACCTTCCATTTCTTTTTCAGCTCTTTTGACTTTTTCTTTGTAAATGTTCTCCAGTCGTTTTTGCTTCTCCTCTTCTCTCCTCCTTTCAGCCACCGTTCTGGCATGCACATCTTGAAAATCCACCTAAGGAGGAAATTAAGAAAAAAGTGTAACATTCCTCGTAAGAAATATATAGAAAATCCATTTCCTAAGATCCTTATCTGTGGTGAAAAATCCTGTAACATCAGCCAGAAGCTCAGCAGCATTTCCTTTTATCTCTTCTCCCCCTTGAATCAATAACTGCAGCAATTGTGAATGGAGTTTCTACTCCTACTAATAAAGGACTGCTGAGAATCAATGGCTTTCAAAAGAAAATCATAAGGTAGAAAAACAAACCCCTTAGATTAAGTAGAAAAACAAATCCCTTAGATTTTCACATCCAGAATGCAGGAACAAACAGGGCTTTGGGAGATTTCTGTCACAGCATTGGAGACAAGGAGTTAGGGAGAATGAGCAGGAAGAGACTATGCAGGGTAGATATTAAGATTACATGAAAACATCACACCATGTCCACCAGGAAATTCAGGAAAATTTGTAAGCACTGTAACTATATGTGTGTCTATATATATATAACTTTGTAAGAAAGGGAAATAAAAGAGAAGACCTTCAAACTTATTAAGAAAGACCTAATTTGTGATTTTACAATTACATTATTGGATTTTGATATTCCATATGGCTGAATTATAAACATTAATCTGAACAACTCAAAACACTGTTTCTTAAAATATTAGCAATATTTTGGGGTTTTTTTTGTTTTGTTTGGTCCTAGAAGGGATTGAAAACACAAAAAAAAATTCAATCCTGTTTTAAAGAAGGCAGGCTTGATTGCATTAATGCAGAAGGAAACCCTTCTGCATTAAAACACAGAATTTCCTACCACATAACTGTCATGAACTGCCAGACAATGCTGAGTAAGCCTGCACTTTGCTGATTCTGCAGCCCACAGACTCTCTTGCAATGTCTCCACTACAAGCACTCACTGAAGGTTTGTCATTCTTGCCACTGCTCCATGAGCAAGCATGTCAACATCCACTAGTAGCTCTCAACAACCTGCAACAAAGTTTTGGAGTCACACAAATGTTTTACTCTAACAGTTGTCAGAGAAACTGGCACGGAGGGTCTCCATCAGTTTAGGAAACAGGCACACTCACCAAGCTGGTTTTTCAGTAGGGAATGGGTGGGCAGAAGGGTGGTAGGGAAAATATCTGGTTTCAAAATCTACTGCATCATGTGGATCACCAAAGTGAGCTTTCTTGGTTTTCAGGACCTGATTTTCCTACAGGTTTGCATAGCTCCCCACAGAGAACTGGGAGAAACAGATCCACCCAAAGAGCAACACTGCCCACAAAAGCAGAATGAAGATACAGAACCCAGGATCTGCAGCCAACATTTGCTGGCAGACAGACTGGACTGCACAGAAAACCTGCCCAGCTACAGCTTCCTAAAGCACAACTTCTGCCTCATGCCAGAGTACCTACAGGGGAATCATCTGCCCATTCTTCCCCATTCTCTGTACCAAAAGGACCAGGAAGCCTTTTATTGCTGGTCTGCAATTATGGATGTCTGAGCAGCAAAAAACTGCTCAACTGAAAGGATGCCAAGCAGCAGGCTGAGACAATTACTGCAACTTTTGTGAAAATATTGGAATACAGCAGTACTATACTCTGAGTGGGTCTGTTTGAAATCCTGTTCTGTAATGCCATCCATGCATTCCTCAGATACAAAGATACTACAATATGCGTCACGTGCCCAAATATGCAAACATTTGGAAATATGTGAAATATTTTTCCTCTTTCTTCTTCTTTTAAACTTTGAGGAATTTGAAAACAATTACTTTCATGTATACTGAAGCATTATTTGTTCTTGAAGTCAAACATTTATAGAGGCACCTACTTGGTACCTCCTACTACTGACCTACTAACACTAAAAGAGTAGGGAGCTCTCTAGCTTTACACCCTAAAAGAGCAGCAGCTGTCATATTCTGACTATTTATAAAGTTATTTTGGTGATCATTAAGAAAAACCCAACTATAGACCACACAGAGCTAAAACACCACCCAAGTTGCCCCATGCCACTGTGCCAAACCAGTAAAACTCAACAATGATGTATTTTGCTACAAAAAAAAAAAAAAGTAGCAAATGCCTCCTCAAAACTTTTGGTTGCTTCTCACACTTCAAGCACTAAGCTGGCAAAAGACCAGTTAGCTCATATCAAGTCTTTGAGTACAAGAGTTACCAAACTACCTGAGATTGCTTCGATTGATGTTAATGCTTGTAGAGAAGCTGCTCCAGAAAACAGCATAGCTTGTTTCAAAACCTGGAGAGGGATCCCCCAAGTTGTTACTGGGGAGCAGGCACAGACCACAGGAGCAGAGCTGTTGGACACTTGTGTTCAACTGGGTGAAACTGTATTACATGTTAAACACCCCTTGTCTCAGTCTTGCTCTTCTCCTTGTCACTGTCATTTAGTTTTCTTCTTTTCTCAAACAAGGTAAGAAAGGATAATTCAATCCGAATCATCTTTTGTGAGCAGATGCCAAAATTTGTATTAAAAACCAGCACAGCACAGTTCAGTAGGGAACACCATTAGCTTACTGTGGAAGCAGAACAGCAAAAATACTTCACATGTCACAAAAGCTTTTCGTCTGCTGTTAGGAATCTGAATCTGTCTTTCTGAAGAGAAAGAAAATCAGTATGTTTACTGAAAGCCTGTTATTATCATTGTAGGTAGTATGAATGCCAGAATAGTGCTCCAAATTTTACTGCTGCACCTCAGAAGACAGACTAAAGCAGCAGAATGTTCCAAACACAGTAACTTGAAGTGACATCTAAAAGCTAAGGTTTACATGACATTTCTCTTTCATGAAACCTCTTTTCTGGCACAGTAACACGGCAGCTGAGGGTGGCAGGCACCTACACTTGCAAAGTTATAGAGCAAAGGGGACCTAGAACTGGGCAGCTCAGTGTAGAAATCAAGCTAGTTTAAAGTGGTTATAGAAGGATGTAATAGGTGTTTATCCTCAGTTTAATGCATGACCATTACTGCCCTTCCCAAAAGAGCTAAACCTTGGGGGCTCCAGTCAGGAATCAGTGGGTGAAAGCCAGCTGGTGAGCAGTACCAGCACCCTGAAAAAGGCAGAGCACAGCTATAAGTACAAGACCAGAGTTCTAAAAACCTACAGTACTGCAAGATGACACAGAAAGCCTGGGGTTTGTTTTCCAAAGGCCATGCTCAACAGGAGGCCTCATACAGGCAATGTTGTTTCCTACAGCTTTTTTTTTTTTTTTTTTAACATTTATTGGTTTCCTTACTTTGAACATCACCTGGTGTTCACCACCTAATACGACAGAGCGGAGTAAAAAACGCAGAGTACCTTCTTGTTCTGCTTTAGGAAGTGGTATCCCAAGGAAAGCTGCTTGTAGGCCTCCCCGTATTTCTCATGCCACTCTTGCACTGCCTTGATGGCCGCTCTCCTCAGCTTCTGCGCCACCTCCTTGGGCGGGGGGAGCGGCTGCTCGTGGTCTATGCCCACCGTGAGCTCCAGGAACTCCTGGAAGTTGGCGATAAGCAGCGTCCTGAAGTGGTGGGACCTGGCGAAGAGCTCCTGCACCACCTGGAAGGCGGAGAAGCGCATCTCGGCGTGCTCCTCCCGCAGCCGCGTCAGCAGCAGGTGGTGCGCCTGGCTCACCTGCTCCTCCGACGACCTGAGCGCGGGGAAAACCAAGAAAAACCAGGGGGAGATATTTAAAAAGACGCTCAGCACGTACAAACGTCAGCTTGGGGACAGAATTTATTTCAAATATTAAGCAAACAGCTTCTGTGCCGGCAGCACCCAGTCCCCACAACAGGGCCCAGAACAGCGCTCGGGGCGGTTCTGCCCGGGACTGCCGACCTGGGGACAACAGCGGGGCCCGGCTCTGTCCCTCCCTCCGGCCGTACTTGCAGATCTTCTTCAGCTCCTTCATCCTGCCGGGCTCCAGCCGCGGCTCCCCCGAGGTGGTGAGCTCCTCTACCAGCTCAGCCAGGCGCTGGTCCATCGCTGCCGGGACACCCGCCCCGAAGGTCCCTCAAGCCGGGGGAGCCCCGGCCGGGAAGCACCAGCGCTGACAGGCCCGGCCGCGGCTGGGCGGCGCCATCTTCCGGCCCTCAGCGGGGCCACGCCCCTCATCGTAGCCCCGCCCACAGAAACCACGCCCCTTACAGGGGCCACGCCCACATGGGCCGCGCCCCCTGTGTGAGCCCCGCCCCTTTGGGCTGCTGCTCCCCCCGCCCCGCCGCGGGTGGTACCTTCCTCCCCCCCCGCGGCACCTACCATCTCCCCCGCCCGCGTGACGCGCCGGCGCGCGGAAGCGAGGCCTTAAAGGAGCCGCGACCCGGTTTTGTCTGAGGGGATGTTGTGGTTTAACCCGCCCGGAGGGGCGAACAGTCAGTGACACCCCCGAGATCATCGACAGCAACCAAACACCACCGCCTCAGTCTTTCCTTAAACACCCGCAAGGACTGGGCAGCCCGTTCCAAGCGTTCTGTGAAGAAATTCCTCCTAATGCCCAACCTAAACCTCCCACCTTCAAACTGCCTTCTGGTCCCGCGGCTGTTCGCGGGGCAGCAGAGCCCGGTCCCTCCCGGCCTGCAGCTCCCGGCGGGGAATGCAGAGATCCGGGAGGTTCCCCTGAGCCTCTCGGAGCCCCTCAGCCGCTCCTCAGCCGCAGCTCTCCGGCTCAAACCCTTCCCCAGCTCCGGATCTCCGCGCAGCCCCCGGCACCGCGGGGCCCTTCTTGTCGTGAGGGGCCCGAGCGGGGCGCTGCGGCACCGCCACAGAAGTGTCCGTAAGTAATGCCATTACTTAACGTGTCCCTGTGTGCCACCCCCGCGGGGCTGGTTACGGACACGGAGCCCGCCTGGGCTCAGCGCCGGCACAACTGCGGGTCTGGGGGCTCTGCACACCCCCAGTCTGAAAGTGCTGCTTAACAACACCTCGCTTTGGACATCTGTGGGAATCCAGGGCTTCCCTCTGGCTGCCCTGGCAGGTCTGGGACCCTGGCAGGGGTCAGGAACCCCCCTGGACAGAGCCCCAGAGACACTGTCTGTGATCTCTGTCCATGGAAAAGAGTTTTCAATCTTACAGGATGAATTACAAGCTTTGAGTGTTTGATAAGAGTAATAATTAAGTGTGACACGGGTGCAAAAGTAAAATTTTAGGTTTCTAGATTAGGGGTTCAGAGGGGGCAAGATGGAGGAATTGGGTGTGTCTTGTCCTTTTCCTCCTTCTTCATGCCCTCCATGTTTCACTGTAGTGTTGGCATTTTTCTGTTGGTTTAGGCTGGGGACACACTGTTCAACGTAGATGATAGATATTGGCACATTATTGTAAATATAGTACACGTAGTTTCTGGTATATAATGTTTGTACCATCCCACTGAAGGGCAGAGCCCCGCACGCTGCCCTGCAGGACAGAGCTGCGGCAGGGCAGCAGAACATGTTATAGATAAGCAAAAATAAACAACCTTGAAAACAGCACAGACGAATTATGGCTTCTTTTTTGGCAACGGGGCAGAAAGACAGAGACTTTCTACAATCTCGGAATCACCAATACCCACAGATTCCGACAGACATCCTAAAGAGGGAAGACATCTAAAATATCTGTTCCCGTTTGAGGATAATTGACAGGTATTTCCACTAATGCACAGTTCAGGCGCGTGTTGGAAGGGATTTCTGTGGATTGGTGTTGCAGCTGTGTCTGCTGGTTCCTGTGGTTGGCAAAGATGGCATTGAACAGTTTTCACTAGAAATGGACTTGTGTCTTCAACCACATTTACTGCAGGAAATGAATACATTTCTGTTATATCTCTGCTATTTCTGACTCTATACATGAATCTAGTGACATCCTAATTTTAATAATGTTTATCCTTTCCCCATTGCCTTCCATCAAGCACAGTGAATTTCCATGTGAAAGTCACGCAGAGTGGCACAGCTCGTCTGTAAAGTTTAGATCAGTTTACTCTTTCACCGTTTATATCTATTTATTTTCTCCATTTGATTGAAAGTGCCAGAACAACTGCTTTCTGTTAGGGTATGACTTGCAAAAGGAGCATTGCTGTGCTGTCTGGAAACAGAATTTCAAAATGAGCCTCAAGCAACAGACTTAGCATCTACAAAGGCAGTGATTTCATACTTTTGCATAATGTTTAAAGAAATCCTTGCAAGGAGCCATATGGTTTTGCAAAGAATCAGTTGATGAATGAATGAGTGCTGAGTTGTGTAACTCATTCATGATAGTCCCTTAGGCAAATCCCAATGAGAGCGAGGCTGTTTATTTATTTATTTGTCAAAATCAAAGACAATTACATAAAATTGTGTTGGCTTAAGTTGCTGAGTCTCCTTTTCCCTTCTACTTTTTAATGAACATGGCAAATATCCACCATTCAATCATTTCCATATTCTCTTCATCTGGACCAGCCTGATAAAAGGCTGAAGAGAGCCTGAACACTAAAAAATGCATTCAGCTGCAAAAGTCACAAACTTCTGCACCTGCATTGATTTTTCCCCAGCTGGTCTGGGCTGTTCCACAGAGGGGAACACAGAACACTGTGGAGTGCAGAGGCAAGGCTGAACACCAGCTGATATCCCTTCAGAGCCTCAGAGTTCAATGGGCTTTGTTTGTTTACACCTGGTTTCAGCAAATCCTGGGTCTGTAGCTTGATGTTATGGGGATTGTTGAATCAAGGAGTTGCATTTCTTGCATCTGTACTGAGACATCAGCAAGAGCAACGTGGTGACACTTCGTGAGTGCTCTGAGGTGAGCAACACCTTGCAGGAGCACAGACTCTTCCAGAAACTCTGTCCTGTCCACCACCTCTCCAGAATACCCAACGCTGTCCTCGTTGGCAGGAGCCACTTGCAATGGGAATGTTCTCCTGCAGGAAGATATCTCCACACAGGACTAGCTGGTCCATCAGAGGTCATCCTCAGTTGGTCCAGTACCTTTGGCCAAACACATAGGCAAAGAAAATCTCCAGAATTTTGTCCACTGACAATTATTTGGGTCTGGGTGTTCTTACACTTAAGCACCATTTATTCCATCACAGATTTAAAAGGTAAAACTACTGGCTCTAGGGAGGATTATTTCAGACTTTGTGCAATGCTAAATTATCTGGTTTAGTTTTTTTTATAAAAGAAACATCTCAGCAAGAGTCAGTTCCGCCTTTTTACTAGATGATTCTTTGCCAAGGGTTGTTTTCCAGCTTTGCAATAAAAGAGAATGTCAGTCAAAAAGAAACCCCCCATAACTTTTAAGATAGCTGTATTCAGCTTAATGACATGAAATTAAAAAGGAGGATTTCTTCCCCTGCCAAAATGGAACTTTGGCAGAGAAAGGCTTCCCTACAAATAATTTGGAGCTAAAATAACTTTCATTTCAGGTCTGAAGATACAGAAACATGATAAACACTTACATTAAATTGTCACAGAGTTTGTGCCAATTGGGTTGTAAAGAAAATTACCTATGTGAGCGGCATAGATGCTGAACCAGCAGTTTGAGTTGAGCAAAAGAGTGACAGATATTTCAGAGCTCTGAGCTACCTTGTAAGGGGTAAAGAGTATATTTAAACAGATGTTCTCAAAGGGAAATAGCCTATTCATTAAACCATCCATAATGCAAGGCCAAAGGTGCTTGGTGACCTCCTCTGATTATGTGAAATAGTGACTGTGACAACATTTCAGCCTACTGTAACATTTTATAATTCTGGTATAGAAGGAGATGAGTGAACCTGCTCTGTGTGGTCTAGATCACTAATTAAATATCCATTTGTAAATTGGATGGAGCAGCAATAGCTGTAGGAGAACCACCACAAATCAAGGAGCACCTTCCTACACATAGCTTGTACTCATGTCTAGAATCATTTTTAAAAATGATCCTACAGCAATTCCTGAAACTGCACAACGATGTGGACACAATTGATTAGTATCAATGAGGGTAAATGTTTTTTTTCTTCACTGGAATATCTGTGCAGTCTCAAAGTGGAGCTTAATGAGCATTTTTCTGTGTTAGACAATATATATCCACACTAGGAGTTAATATTTGTACATGAATGCACCCAAAAAGACTAACACACTGCAGTGCACAGGGGTGTCTTTGGGGGTCAGGGCAATACCAGCCTTTAAGGCAGGACTCAGATGGTGCAGAAAAGGAGCAGCTTGAAGGTTGTTGACATGTAGAAAAGGAGACTGCAGAGGAAAAGAAAGACCCCAAGACTACCAAAGAGGAAATCCAGTCCAAATTCTTCATGAAGACCCTCTGAAGCTAAATCACACAGAGACAGAAATGACACTTTCCTGCGTGTGTAAATACTGCTTTCAGACATTTAGTGTTAGCAGAAAATCCTTAGGCAGCCTGCAGAGACTGGTTTGGGTGTCACATTGACATTGTTGGTGCTGTTGAGAAGCTCCTTCAGCCTGATGGATGCCTGAGCTGAGCCATCCTTGCAGAGCCTTAGGCTGCAGCAGAGCTGCAGTCACTCAAGCTGCTTTCTCCAAATGAGAGACTGCATGGAGCTATGGCTCAGATACCCAAATGAATTCCTTTTCTCTTTTTTTTCCCAAGGACGTGGAAAGGAGAGAACTGCTCTGAAGCTGCTGAAAGCTGCAGAGCTGCCTCCAGTTCAAGGGGAGTGAAGCCCATTCCCAAAGAGGAACTTTTGCTGCTGTTTCAGACAGGGATGGGTGCTGGGCCTGTGTGTGTCTCACACCACTGCACAGGCACTGTCTGCTCTGGGCTTTGCCCTTGCAGGTTCCTCTGTCCTGCTGATGCACCAGGCAGCTTGGACCCACAGTGCCACTGCAGTCCCTGGCTCACAGCACTGAGTCCTCACCATCCCTCTAAATCCACTGGCCAGCACAGCACAGTGCCCAAAGGAGCCTGCTCTCAGCCTTCAGCCCTGCTCAGCATTTCCAACATCTTCTGTTTGCAGTGAGCAAGAAAGCCTCATGGATCAAACGGAGCTTTGCCAGGGAAAATTTCTTTTACTGTTATGATAAAAGAATGTCTTGTCTCCATGAAGAGATTATTTATACAGGTCAGCTTTTGCAGGCAGGAGGAAAGTCCCTGGCTTGAGGAGATTACAAGGTAGGTGGGACAAAAATAGAGTGTAGAGACCACAGTTTGAGAGGGATATAATGTTGAAGTATAACTAAAAGGAAGAAGAAAGTCTCTTGAAGAGCAGGAGGCAGCAAGTCTTGTGTCTGTAGCTGTTTATGCTTTTAAGGAGATGTGTTGCACTTCTGTGGCTCAATACCTAAGTTGAAACAGAATGGGAAAATATTTATTAATATTTCATGTATTTTGACCTCTTTGCATGCTCTCAGTTTCTGCAGTGAGGTCACAACACAGCTGTCAGAGGTCACAACAGTTCCACTGACCAACCTTCTTTTATATTTTGCGCTCGCTGCTAGGAATCCTAAATGTTTCACTTTTTGGTTTTGGTTTTTTTTTGGTTTTTTTTTTTTTTTTTGGCCATTAAACCTCAGTATAGCTTGCAATAAGACTTGCAGGTACAGCCAGCACATCCCTTGAGCAGCAGCACCTCCTGCAGGGTGACCTCAGCGGTGTTGCTCATGCAGCCACTCCTATCCTGTGTTTCAGTTTGTCTCACCTGAGTGCTAAAAAGCCTCTTAACTGCTTCTCCTGCTTTTCCTCTTTGCACAAGTCATAGTGGTAAAATTCTACCAAGTACTGAAAAAGCAGTATTTGTGGTGAACACTGCTCGGTAAGTGGTACAAAAAATTCTCTTTATATCCTTGACATCCAGTTCTGCTCCAGGTGATGGGACCTGAATTCTAGTCAAGTATGGGGTTTATTTTTTTGAAATGTAAACAAAACTGGCAGGCAGCAGTTTCAAGGTCTATTTATAGGGATAGTAAAGGAAAGTGCACTGCCAGCACTGGTCTGAGCTGGGGGACTGTGAGAGCCTCTGCTCAGCTGAAATCACAGAAAATACTGTCACTGCCTTTGTCACTGCATTCCTGCATGGCCGCGAGAGGCACAGCCCCTGAGAGACACGGCCTCCTGCCTGCTGAGGGAAAAAGTTCTCAATTTATTTAGAAAGTGTTTTATTTATTTAATAACCCCCAAAATACCCAAACAAACAAAACCAACCAAAACCCAAAAAAAAAAAACCCTAAAGCTACGTCTTTTTTTAGGGAAAAAATATTATTAGTTAAGCTCACAGAGCTATGAGAAATACTTTTTTTTTTTCCAGATAAGTATATTTTCAAATGAGAATAAAAATTAAATTTATACAGAAGCATAATGTCCTTTTAAGAAGAGTTTATTTGCAGGTAACAGTAAAAATTGACATTATAAAGCTGTGAACTTTGTCACTCTTCACCACAAGTGTGCCTAGTGAATTGCACCCACCATAAACTCGATTTATTTCCCCCTCCAGGAGCAGCCCGGGGCATTTCTGCCGGTGTAAAGCCACACGCGGGGGGACCACTGGAGGCTCCTGCAGGAGCGGCTGCCCGGTGCGGGATGTCCCCGTGTCCCCGTGTCCCCGCCGGGGCTGCCCTGGGCGCAGCCCCCAGCAGGTGGCAATGCAGGAACACCTGGAGCCCGTCCAGCCGGGAAAGGCTGGGGCTGAGACCGCTGTTCCTGGGGGAAAGGCTCGCCTTGGAAATCCTGCTCGATGTTTGCAGCATCAGCTACGAATCGTTTACAAGGTCAGCGAGAGATGTTGTTTTGTTTTTAAACGGTAAGGTTTGAGCTCACAGGCTTTGTAGCAGCAGCTTGTGGCAGTGGGGTGGATGTGCCAAAACCTTGGGGGTCACCTGGGAAAGTCATGGAGTCATTTATGTAGGAAAGGATCCCCAAGAGCATCAAGTCCAGCCATTAACCCAGCATTATCAAGGCCACATGTGACAGATATTTAAATGTTATATTTATCTGTAGATACCTACACTCACATATACATACATACATACATACACACACACACACACACACACATATATATATATATATAAAATGTCTCTTAAGAACCCCACTCTCAACCCTTTTTCCCATATTCTGTTGCATCTTCCATCCCTATGTAAAGCCACACTGTTTCCAAGCCAGGAATAAATCCTGAAACAGATTTGAACCTTTAAACATAATCAAAGTCTCACAATAAAATAGGCAAAGAGGAGATTTTGTTTGAACAAAGCATTCCTGTGTATCATATCATAGGAACAATTTTAATGACAGTTTGAAAGATAACATGTCTCTGAGAAAGCACTGAAGGTGGGGGCATTTTCCAAGAAATGTGCTTGTAGAGGTAAATCAATTGAATTTTAATTCAATAATTAATAATTCAATAAATAAATATTCAATAATAATAATGTAATTAATTTACCTCTACAAGCTTGAATGTGCTTGTAGAGGTAAATTAATTGAATAAACCAAAATATAAAAACAGGAAAATACAGAAGCATTAAAATTGCCTAGTGGTACACTGCCTTTTTTCTAAATACACATGCACACACAGAAATTCCCACCTAAAACAAATAAAACCAACCTCTAACCCCCCAAAACAAACCAACAAAAATACCCCCTCCTCCCCAAACTCTGAAGCCATTTAAAAAAAATCATTATGTAAGATATTTGAGCTTGTTAAGAAATCAATGGAAAAAGGTTGATTGCACTAAAAAGCTGCTGAAAAAATTATTTCCCCTTCTTTTTATGACTGTAAAACCTGTTCCTGTCAGAGAAGTGACTCTGCCTTGAAAGGCCGGGGCTGGTGAACTGAAATCACAACGGAGCTACCAAAACACTGCCCTGGGCACCATAACCACAGCTTGGTTAAAGTGGCTCCAGAGGAATTGATGGGAGTGCTGAGAGGTTCCATTGCATGTGTCAAACACAGTGTAACTTTGCTTGCTACTGACAAGGAATCAAAATTATCTGCAATCACTGTGGTTACTCTCATCTCCAAATGCTTCTATCACGGCTTGGACTCTGTTTTAAATGGTACAATAAAAACCTTAGGGAACAAAATCTATCTGATGCAGAAATACACTGCATTGTTTCTTCAAAAGTATCACGGATCTTGAACTGCACAGGAATATTTAATGTCAATCCATGTTCTGTATTTGCTGCATAGAAAAGCAGCAGTTGTTGCTATTTGAGAACCATCAGCAAATTTCAAATATGTCTCGATTATACAGAATCACACTGTGGGAACAGCAGGGTTAAACAGCTTCAGAGCAATAACAAAAAGCACTAAGTAATTTAAGCTCTGTAAAATATGTAAACAGCACAGCAAATACTAAAATAATATGCATTTTGTAAAGTTCTTTTAAAAATTCTGTGACATATAGGAAGGGTACAAGAACAAACAGCAGAAAAGAGATAGTTGCAATAGTGCCTACTAGTAAAGATTTAAATCAGTTTCAAGTATTGCTGGGTAACTTGTTCATAAAATAAAATTATCTTCAGGGAAAAATATCACATTAAGTGATTCTGAGTATAGCAGTGAAAAACACAAGGAACAAAAGATGAATTCAAACTGGAAACCAGGCACATATTTTACCAGTGAGGAAACAGATTCTCTGTGTCATGATGATGTTTTTCTGACAGATGTGCTTGAACCAAACAGCCCTGGATTGTAAATGATTTGAGACTCGACATCCAAAATCAGGACACTGGAGATCTGTTGCCACTGGCTCTTTTGGAAGGCATTACATTACGAAGAAGACTTTTTTCATAAAACAGAGATGGCAGGACATGAAAATCCTGGTGACTCAGACAGTAACTATTCAAACAGGACCTGGCGACTCGTGGAGTTATTAGTGGATGCTGGAGAGGGGACAGCACAGAGAGGGAGAATGTTTTGCAGGTAGAGCATAATAAAAAGGATATGATGTCTCTTTGAAGCATCCTTGATTTAAAAGTGACTACTGGAAGTTCTCAAGAATGTTCCAAATTTCAGGACTCAATTACCTAAGGACAAAGAAGGGTTATAGGAAGGTTCCTCTAATGGTGGGAGCAGCCCCTCTAACTGCTTGGAGCAGATGAAGCTGTTAGTTGGCATTTTTAATCTTTGGTATTTTAACAGAACTGATCCATACTGGTGTAAATAATGGGATTTGCACAAAGTTTTAGAACATTCCAGAAGCTTGTTCTATGAGACTTTATATTTTTGTCGATATTTTCTAGTACCTCTTCACCTGAGCAAGATCTTCACCAATACCTTGAGGTGTTATTTCCAAATAGCCATCCAAAATTTCAGTGTTAGGTTCTCTGGCCCAAAGATTCTTGGCTTCTTTGGCCAGGACAAAATTGACACCAGCACTCTGAGTTCTTTTCATGGTGTTCCTGGAAATACAAGATGTGGAGGGAAAGAATTAAGCCAAACACTTCATTCAGATAAAAATTTACTCCAGCATCTCACGTCCTTAAATGCAAAGATCACAGGTGATGTTATTTATGGCTTCCCAGTACAAAGAAAGCAGTCATTATCCTTTGCTAATTGGTTTAGAATAAGGGAGGTATTTCTGGATGTGGCAGCTGCTAATCTTACTTCAGTGAGGAATTCTTAATTTTACCTCCTCAGAAGAAGGTTCCAGAGACACGGGGAGTATGTTTTGTCCAAGGGTAGGATAATTTTTATCTTAACAGGGTAGGTGATATTCTTTCCAATTATTATAAAAATTAGGTGTGTCAAAGAAGAGCTGTTACTCACTGAAAGAGCAAACCAGCAATTCAGTGCCTTTCTCTGTACCTGGCAGCTAAACTGAATCATTAGCTGTCCTTTAACACCAGCACCCTGTTTATTTACTGTTTTTTGAAGTAGGATAATGCAGCAGTGAAGTCAGATAGCTGGCACTGGATGTGACAGTGACATTCAAAGAAAACAGATGCCACAAAGCCTGGATCATCAGAGGGTATGTACATCTGAGATCAACATTTGCAAAGTGCTGCTGGAAAAGAAAAGCCAGCAGATTTGCATCAGCAGCATCAATTCTCATCTATTCTTCCCTGTCTGACCGTCTGATAAGATAGAATCACTCCCTCCCTGGTATTTGTCCCCTTCCAGGGCTGTTCCTCCTGGAGCTGGCCGTGGCTCAGCTCCCACACACAAAGGTTGGCAGCACAGCTGCTCCAGGCACCTTCTGTACCCAGAGGAGGGACAAGTTCAAATGCCCTGAGGACAAGTTCAAAGGCTGCCTGTTGGGTTTCTGCTGTCCCAGAGCAGTTCTGCCAGCAGGGCACAGAGCTGTTCCAGTGGGGGCGTTCACTGGGCATTACAGCACGATGCCAGGATGATGCCCTGCCTGGCAGGAATTCATGCAAGGTTTTCCTAATGACTGTATCCAGGGCAACTTAAGCTTCTCTAAGATAAATTTCCCCCTGACCCTTCCAGTCTCTAATAAAATATTTCTCTGGTTTGCATCCCTAAAGTTGCTACTTGAAAGAGGAGATATCTCCATAAAGGGCACGCATGGGCACCCTGAAGAACTTTCCATAGCTCTGCTCCTGGCTCATCTGAGCAATTTGTCTTGCTGTGGTTTGCAAAGAAAGAAAAGAAAATTGTCCATTGGTTTATTATCTGTTTATTTTCTTTTGGGGAATTTGTCTATAATCTCCATCTCCATCTCCATGGGTGGGGAACAAAATATTTAAGTTAGTTAAAGATCTTTTGTCCTGAAGTGAATAGACCTTATAATCATTTTCTCCTCATTCTTCCTTCTGGCTCTGTCAGGAAAAAGTCCTGGCTGGGAATGCAGATATGTCCCTGGGAAAATTTGCTCCTTTGCTCTGCGGAGTATTTCCTTAAATGCACAACATAAAATTTTATCTTATGGGGATAGGAAATAGTGTCAAAGGAGTAGGTACAGATGTTATCCCCCACTTAACCAGCTTTAGTTTTCCATTTTCTTTTGGGAAACTGAACAACTCAATGATTTCCCCACTCCAGCTGCAGTGTAAGAGACATGACCTGAGCACCCAGGAGTGTCCCAGCTGCCAGCACAGCAGCACCAGACCCCTCTGCAGCCCCAACACCAGAGGGATCTGAGCCTGCTGGAGCGAGTCCAGAGGGGGCCACAAAGGTGATCAGAGGGCTGGAGCCCCTCTGCTGTGGGGACAGGCTGAGACAGATGGGGGTGTTCAGCTTGCAGAAGGCTTTGGGGAGACCTTCCAGCACCTTCTAGACTCTAAAGGGGTTACAAGGACTTTTGACGAGGCCATGGAGTGACAGGACAAGGGCCACTGGCTTCAAACCGGCAGAGGGCAGGGTTAGATTGGACAGAGGGAAGAAATTCTTTGCTGTGAAGGTGGTGAGGCCCTGGCACAGGGTACCCAGAGAAGCTGTGGCTGCCCTTTCCCTGGCAGTGTCCAAGGCCAGGTTGGGCAGGGTTTGGAGCAACCTGGGATAGTAGAAATGTCCCTGCCCATGGCAGGGGGTTAGAATGAGATGATCTGCAAGGTTGCTTCCAACCCAAACCATTCTGATCTATGTGATACAATTCCCAGACTGGATACTAGAGCAGCTTCTTTCCATTAGAGCTGAACAATTAACAATCCCAGGAGACTGATCACTTGGTTTCTGTAACAGGCACAGTCTTTTTCTCTTCCATGTTGCTAAGTTATTTCTGGTTTCCTTGGTGCATCTGCCTCTCCACGCCGCCCACCGATGTCGCACATTCCCATTTTTATTAGGAACAGGCAGCAAGGTGCTGGGTGCAGTTTTGTAACAAAGTCTGGATCTCTGTCACACATTACTTCCATGTTAATTTTTTCTTCTTTCACTTTTAAAAGCTTCAGTTATTTTAATCTCTTTGAAAGGTAGCTGGCTGATAACATTTCCTAGCTCTACTCTGATGCTTGATCTCATTTTTGATGAGTCAAACCAAACAGCTCTTCTTGTTCAGCAGTCCTTTCTGTTTCTTGTGTTCTACTATTTCCTATTGTTGTTCTTGTGGTGCTACTTATCCTACAGCTGATTTCCTCTGGCTTAGCATACAGATCTCTCAGAATTGTAACATGATTGAATAGTCATGAATCAAATAGGAAAATGTAGTCAAAAATACCTGATTGACAGCTGTGAGATCCTGAGTGAAATCAACCTGTGGCCAGCTAGCAATGAGGACTACTTTCATTTTTGATGTTAAGAACGCCCATGTACAGTTTTGGAACTTCAGTTCAAACTGAGATCAGGACTATATCTCTTAGGACTTTTTTTCAATGCCTAGTTCTCACACTACTTCTCACAAAAGCCAGCTCTAAGGCAGAACTGCTTTGTGCTTGCTGTACAGCTGATGTACTAAAAACATCTTCAGCCCTCATATCCAACAGTAACTGAACTGTAACTTGCTCCCTCTTGCTGGCCTTGATTGCAAATTTTTTGCCCCTGACTGTGCCAGAGATACTTCTACATACAGAACCTACCTAGCTCTAAGAGGATGTGTTAGTAAAGAGTTAAATTCTGCTGTCCTGCTCTGCCCATCCTACATCTCCTTCTAAAACAAAGCTGAGCTCCTGACAACTTCTCAGAGCTTAGCTAAGAGGGCTAAGTCTTTGAAATAAATGACTGAATTAAGAAAAATGCTGCCTTTCAGTGTGTCTGATGCATGCTACAGAACCAACCACTGAATGTCTTGGCAGGGAGATCCTGGTGAATGTCTGATCTCCCTCATCATCAAACAAGGGATAGATTCAGTGACTAGAAGAAAGTACTGGAAACGAGTTTATCTGTTCAAGGATGAGATGAAGATCAGACATGACCAATTATCATGTGGATCTGGGCTGGGCTTTATTTGGTGTTCAGAATACCTCATTATGGAAATGAAAATGCAGGATGGAAAAGTTTTAAATACTCATTTCATTGTATCAAGTGGCCTCTATTGTGCAACAGGATGCCCAGTGCACATTTGTCACAGTGTGGGTCTCTAAGGACCCTCAATAAAAGTGTTTAGTGTGCTTCCCAACACCCTCTGCTCAGGCTACCTGAGGCTGAAAAAAAAGCAAGAAAAAAGCAAATCAGAGTATTCATTTTTTTTTTTTCTCTGAACAGTGGTCCATTATGCATGTTCAAAAGCTTCTTTATGGCAGATTTCCAGTTGTAATTTTATCATTCTTCCTGTCCCAAATAATATAGTTGTTTTTTTTTTTTTTTTTTTCCCAAGGAGTAGTTTCATTACTGAGTAGAAAAGACCATGCTTACATTTAAAAAACCCCAAACCCTGACCACTTCATGAGTCTTTAAAGCTTGGAGGAAAAATGTTTTGCCTGAGTTTGGTATCAGCTTTGCTATTTCCTACCTACAAAATGTTGTGACCTCAGCATCCTGAACCCTTCTCAGCCTGGAAGATAATGGAAGCTGGAACAGGTACAAAAAGCCCAGGGCACTGTGAAGAGTTAGCAGTATCCCTCTTTTGCAATACTGGAAAACCTTCAGCATTAAGAGTAGGGTTTGGACCACAACAAACAGAAGGTTAAGGCAATTCTCATCCTTGGTGTAACTGTGGGAATCGGAGTAACATGTTCTGATCACAACTGGGACAAACTGCTGCCTTCAAACAGGAACACCACAACCAAAATCCAGAGCCTCGTTAAGTTGCCTGGTAGGACTGAAAAAACATCCCAGTGAAGGATAGTGTTCATTTCCAGCTCAGCCAGATCTTGAGAAGTCTTTGCTTAACTAGAAAGCTTCTACCATCTCAAATAACTTTATACTTACTCTGAGTCACCTGCTGCTCTCGGTTTGATGTCTGGGGTCACCTGTGAGATGAGCTGTGAACCAACACCTCTGTTGGATTGGGAGCTCCAGGCTGCACTGAGCAGGCAGGGAATGCAAACCAGAGCTCCAAGCTGCTCTGCACCAAAGCAGAGCAGACTGCCACCATTTCTGACCCTCATACAGCTGGAGGCTTCCAGAGCCATGGCAGAGCAGCCTGAGAGCAGCCCAGCAGTTCAGGAGGCTGCAGCTGCCTGTGGCACACAGGCCTTGCTGCAGACAGAATGGGTTGTGTGACTGCAGATTTCCAAAGTGAGCAATCAGAGCTAACAAACAGCTGAAGCTCCCCTACGCTCCTTCTGGAACTCTCCCTTGTAACACACCATGTTGGTGGCACCTGGCCCTCTGCAATCACACCTCCCAGAAACAGAGGCCCTCCTTGTAGGACAGCTGTTCTCTTCTCCTCCCATCCCAAACTGGGTTTTTCTGGAGAGTGTGGGTTTCTCCACCACTCTGCTCAGGTCACAGAAATCAAAAAAGGCTGGTCTCAGGAAACCACAGCTCTAACTGGTATTTAAGAGAAGAAAAAGCAACAATTTTCATGTCCTACAATTGTGTATTTACCACACATTTCCTCAGATCCAATAGAAATCTACTGCTTCATTCCTGCTTTGGCCTTTTATGCATTCCTGTAAAATAAGGAAAAGTGAGGTTGCCACACTCAAAGCTATGCTTGCCCTTCTGCAATGATGGTGTACACAGAGGCCCAAAGAAGAGAGGTGCTGTTCCACGTGGGTTTGAGTAACACTGCTCCTCAGGGTGACATCCTCCTCCTTCTGAGTTGAGGGTGCTCCGACTCTTGCCCCAGGAGAAAGAATGAGAGCAGTTACTGCATAACTGAAAGAAAATTACTCCAGCTGCTAACCTAAGTTCTCTCTGCCTCCCCCCAGTCTTGGTACTGCATTTGTTCTGGGGAATCATTAAATCTGCCACTTCAGAAAATGCCCAGAGAACAGACCCTTCCTTTCCAGCAGTGAGTGCAAAGCACTGGCCCATGACAAGCTGGCAGCACTGCAGAGGTCCAGACACACCTGTGCTGAAGCATCAGCAATTAATGCCTACTGAAAATGGAACCTTTTCAGACACAGCTCCCTGGAAATCCCAGGTATTTACAGTTTCACAGTGCCTAGTACCAGCAGTTTAGCAATATCTGTGACCTTTAAGTGCTGAACATGAAAACAAGTTGTGGTCTTTGTGCTTTGTTAGCACTCTTTAAAGCATGAAAAACCCACACCTAACATCACCCACACCATTTTATTAACAGGAAGGCTCTAGGACATGAGGCAGTGTGCTAGGAAGAGACAGAAAAACCCTGGGGTATACTGTTCATATACGAAAAGTTTAAACCAAAAATACTTATTTGACTGAAATGCTCCGAAGAATGACATTTATGGTTGCTGTGTGGCATTTTTTTGGTTTGCTGGGGAATTTTTGGGGTTTTTTGGTTTGTTTTTTTATATGCATGTGTGTTATTAGTTTTCTTTTTCTTTTAAATCTTGCAGAACTCTGAAAACCAACACATGGAAGTTCCACTCCTTTGAAGAGAGGCCACTGAGAGTTAATTCTTTAAACATTTAAACACAAAACAGCTTTCTAATTTTATATAATCAAGAAATGGAAAACAATTTTTATTAACATGTCTTACATTTACAATCTTTTATTAGCTAATCAACATCAACATGCAAAAATAAGCGCTAAATACAAACCTCTACAATATGGTTTTGTTTAAACTACAATGGTTTAATTCTTTTGAAAAGTCATAAGGATGTGTTCTGCAGTTGTTAAAATTGAACTATTAGTTTCAGTAATGAATACTATTTAGACCCTAAAATTATGTAATCATCCTGCAAGGCATCTTCAGAAACTTCGCCCAACACTTAAGAATACCAGCTCATTGTCATGTGAGTACATTCTCAAAGCAAGAAATAAGGCAGTAGCACTAATGATTTCATATTGAACCTTATGCACATAACTAATAACTTTAGAAGGACTTTAACACTATGGTAGACTGGAAAAAGAACATTTAAACAAGCATTGGATTTTGCCTGAAATGTTCTCTGTTCTTCTTGATACTTATGCAACCTCCTTAAAATATTTGGGTTTGGAAAAAGACTTCAAACTCCTTGAAACAGTCCCTATTTGATCCTCCAGAGAAGCCACCTTGTGTCAAAGACATCAAAAATATCTTCCCATGGAAATAAGTTACATCATTCATGTTCAGGATTACTTCACCAGAGGATCATAAAGAAGGCAAAGAGGAGCTTAAAGGAGAACACGTTGGTAGTACTGAGATCTTTGATAACAAAAGGGTCTTGGACAATTGTGAAAAAGAGGGAAGAAAAATGGATTTCATTTCAAATCTGTTGTAACTTTTCCCCCAGTGCAAGTGTCCATCTTTAAAGAAAGCTATCCTTTAGAAGATGAAAGTACTTTTCTTTGAGAAGAGTCCAATTTTTGACCTTATGTTACAAAACCTTAACAATCAAAATTTGTTTTTGTGGTTTTTATTCAAGTACAAACTTAAGTCATAATTGCTCTCTTTTTTTTTTTTCCTTTTTTTTTTTTTTTTTTTTTTTTCCTTTCAAGAGTGTTTATTGTTGCTCATTGATCTTTGGTCGCAAGAAACAATAATGCCACCGACAGGTCTGCTCCCCAAGGTGGCAGCTTTTGCTTCTTTGCCACACATTAAGGCCCCCCCCTTTACAGGGTATGCCAAAATACACTGTGTCAAAATTCCAGCGGCACTTCATCGTGTGTTTTACAGACCTACATGATGTAGACTTTCTCAGCTTGTGAGAAGTTGAAGACTTCTTTGGTTCTTGGGCAAATTACTTTGTCATCTTGACGAATAGAAAGCAGAGACTGAAAAAGAGTGAAACCAAAAGATAATATTGACAACAGTTATTCAAAGCAATATTGAACTGTTTAGGAAATGAACTTTTAATCTAAAAAATGTTGTGGTCTGAAGTCAAAACATCTTTGCCCCTAGAAGTTACTTATTCTGCATTATTGCTCTCTGGAGGGAAAGATTTCCAATGCCATTTGATCTCGTGTTAGAAATTCACATAGTTAGGTATGTGACCATTAATATGTCTTCATTAAGACCAATTTAAGCAGCTAAATATACAGTCCTTAAAAAAACATTACTGCAAGAAGTATTCTTCTAGCTTCTGACTGAGTTTATAAGGTTTTATTTTGATCTAGCAAGTTACCGTAACAGCTGCTATTTTAGCCTTCAGCAAGTCATTGACCCCAACACTCACATTGTAGCCATAGACATATCCATTTGGTAACATCATAGGAGGATTATTTTCGTTCATTACATCCCCCGAAATCTTGCAGACTAGTCGGGAGTTGGCACAATGTGCCATAGGCAGGGGCTGAGCCAGCTTGTTCAGGGATTTGCTACACACAGGGCAGTCGGGGTTTTTTGAGCTCCCATCCTCTTTATAACACTGTCTGTTAACAGCAGGTTAGGGAACAATCACCACAATGAAACCATAATTAGCTTCCCATTGTACGGGAAACCTTAAAATTAAAAGATTGTCAGCTGTGCCAACAGAGCCCAGGTGACAGAATGCACAGGAACATTTAATTCAAGTTTAATGTCTACACAAAAGAATCAAGGGCTTGCTCTGTTTCAAGGAACAGGAGTGAGCAAAATGTGTGTCTGGCACAGGTAAAGCTGCTGAGGTGCAGCACCAGCCCTTCCCCAGCACAACAAACCCAGTGAAGTTTCAAAAGATGCAGCTATTTTGAATATCCACATAAAACCTGGCAGGTAAATTTGTGTTTAAATGCTTGAAAACCTGTAATTGTAACCCAGCTCACTAACCCTTGCAGGCATATTCACTAATTTCAGACATGAAAAGACAGCCAAACCAATGTTACATTTTACCATAAAATTTTTGTTTGGGCGTGCCTTTTTTTTAAAACCGTAATGCTATTTACTATAATCTCCCAATAATTTAACAGTGACCAATTTATACCCCATTTGAACAATTCATGAGCAAAAATATTGAAGTGTCACATTTCTTATTTGAGCTCTCCGAAGAGCCTCCATAAACCAAAAATAAACCCCCACATGGCTTTTTTTTCACTCCCAGTAATATCTGCTTTAAAGGATACGGTGTTTTTATAGCTGAAAGGCCTGCCTGGAGTGTTATAGTAAAAACAGAATTGTTTCCCAGCTGATGTAGTCTGTAGTTATCATATCTAAACTGTTGGATCAGCATTCTCCATCGAGCAGGGTCCAAGAGATCCTGTTAAAAAACAACACAAGTTGCTTTCAATCTAATTGTCCCAGGGAGCAAAAGCCTGGGAGTGACAAATTGTGCAAAACTCACTCGTGCAAACCCATCACAAACCAGAAGTGGACACCCCAATGCAGAGTGTTTAAAAAGCACCTTTTAACACTGCTTTATTAAAACAAGTATTATTTAAAATAGCTGAAGCAATTGATATTCAATCTCCATCATCTACCAAATGTTCTAATCAAGGTATGTCAGTCCTGGTGAGGTTACTTCTTCCATTTAGTTTCCTAGAATGCTGGACTACATAGGAAACAACATTAGTACTGTGGAATGTTTCTTCTACAGCCTCTGAACAATTAACACCAGAAAGTCAGAAGTGTTTTTTAACTTAATAATCAATTGTAATACATATCATTTACAGAATCTTGTAAAAATATTTCAATTTGAAGAAGCTGCCACAAGCCCAGCTTAGAGAAAGCTTGCACAAGCTACTCATTTAGAGACAAAAGTCTTTAATCCTGTGTGTTACCTAAAAGTCAGGATTTTTCTTTTCATGGAAATAAGGATACATTGAGCTTTAAAAGCAATGCTGTTGAAGAGTCGTGTAAGAAGGAAAGACTCTTTGAAAATATATTTAGTGTCATCTATACAGGCACACCTAATCCTTTCTTTCTTATCTTTTGTATCCATAACCTGCACTTTGGTCAGGAGGAGTGACGATATTTCTTTACCTTTATATAATATTTATCATATAGATACTCTACTGATCATTTTGTCAACTCCACAAGCTACACTTTGAGGGAACTAGGAGAAACAATCTGGGGACACCTCACAGCATCTTCCAGTAGCGAAAGGTGCTACACGTGATCTGAAAAGGGACTTGTGACAAAGCCATGGAGTGACAGGACAAAGGGAATGGCTTCAAACAGAAAGAAAGCAGGGTTAGACTGGACATTAGCAAGGAGTTTTTTACTGTCAGGGTGGTCAGACACTGGACCAGGCTGCCAGAGAGGCCGTAGATGTCCCATCTGTAGAACTTTGCACTGCTGAGGCCACACCTCAAGTCCTGTGTTCAGTTTTGGGCCCCTCACAAGGACACTGAGGTGCTGAAGTGGCTCCAGAGAAGGGCACAGAGCTGGGGAAGGGTCTGGAGCACAAGTCTGATGAGGAGCAGCTGAGGAAGCTGCGGGTGTTTGGCCTGGAGAAAACCACGAGGACAGGGCAGATGTGGTTCTGAGTTGACGGTTGGACTGGATGATCTCAGAGACCTTTTCCAACCTTTACAATTCAATGATTCTACTGTTGGGACCAGCTTGGATTGGGCTCCAAGAAATCTGGTCTAGTGGAAGGCAAAGTGACATAAGATTGTTCAACAGATATCAAAGAAAACAGCCTGTTCTGCCACAACAGTGAATGTTTTCCTTAAGGTCCTGAAAGAGGAAAAGTCAGAGAAAGTTCTAATCATTGGTTATAGAATATGCTTCTTTCCTTGGATTAATAAAAATCAGTTGGTTAGAAATATGATCTCACAAACCTTGTCACAGATTTAAAAAGAATTTACTTAAAGGCATTTTAGGAAGCCATTTATGCACAGAACTCATTGTCAAGATAGTAAAGGTAACTCCAAACAACAGAGTACTGTAATAGTGTTGAACTAGGTAATTATTAGAGAATTCAAAACTTAACTTCCATAAACTAGAATGTTTTAATTCATATCGATAAGTACTATGGAATTTGTTCTCATTGTACGGTTGTATGTGGAAGAATCCTTCCTTCTCCTTGTTCTCCTTCATTGAAACACTCCATCCAAACCAGCCCTTAGAATAAAATACAGGATTTTTATTTCCTACCTATTTCTTTCTAACTACTAAAATATTGATAAATTCTATCTTATACTCAAGTCTTCTAACACATCTATCATTTATATTCATAACTTAGATCAAATCTAGCATGTAAAATACCAGGATCCTTCCAGGACTCTGGGATGAGCAAAGAAATTCATATTGATTCTGTGGGTTTTTAGTTTCAGGGTTTTTCTTTGTGGTTGTTTTGTTAAACCACGGTTTCATCATCATGTTTAGAAAACGTGTTTATACTGGCACTGCCACATATTGGCTTGGCATTTCATGGAATTCTTGTCTTGCTTTGACAACTCAGCTCTTCTCTACCTTCTGCCTCCAAAGCCAAGTTAAAAAGAAGTGAATTAGCACGTAACCGCAGAACTCAAGTCATTAGAAACAGTAGCTATCTATGAATTTTGCTTCATTTAAATTTAGATATAGATATTACCACTAATAGCTGCATTATTTTGTATAATCCAAATAAATGAAAATTTATTTTAAGGAACAAAAATACTACTTTCACATCATTCAAATCATCCTTCCTTTCTTCATCCCAACCTCTGCAACAACAGTAATGTGAGAGATAGAATTAAGAAATGCTGTTGGTGTATTAAAGCCACAGTTTCGTATGTTGAAAAAGGCTCTTTTTTTTTTCCTTTGTACTTCCCCATCTTCTGCCTCTTGCTGTATATTCAATTATCAGCCCCACAGATCTCTAATGCTGGCTTTATGGTAAGCCTAGCTCAGCGTGAATCCATATTACTATTACAATCCAACTGAAACAATACAAATACTTTCTGTATTAATGTACAAGGACAGGTTACTAAAATTAAGAACATTTACAAAGGTGGAATTTAGGAAGTAAAATTTAAAAAAAACTTATCTTGATATTATCAATGCATTTTCCTGTGCTGAAAAAAAGAACTGAAACATCTGTTTTAGTATTGTAGCACTGAATTTCCATGTTACCTTATAGGGAGAGATATGAGTGTCTGAGGGAAAGGCCAACATTCCCATCACCTGTCGAACCTCATCCAGCTGGCTTCCCTCAGCCTGACTGAAGTGCTTTCTTGCATGTCTGAAATAGAGAATTGATACTTTATTACACAGCCTTGTTTCCAAATCAAGGAAATTCACTTAATTATGGAAGATTTCAGAGAAAACCTATAGATTCTGATCTCAATACATGAACTCCAAGAGGCTCTATGTACATTTAAAGGACTTGAAAAAACACATCCCACAAAGGGGAATGCAAGAATGACTAAGAATTAGTATTTTTACACTGTAATTTCTCAGAAACCAAATCTTTTTACTGTAGTGTGAAGTCTTGCCTCACCTAGAACTAAAACCATGATGATTATTGGAAGAAATGTCTCTGCTCATGCAGGCTCAGTGTATGACACTCATCTGGCACACACTGACAAGCGAGATAAAGGCAGTCTGCAAGAGTGCTCAAATATCTGCCTTGACAACTGGGACAATGTTTATTTTGAATAAATGATTTTTTGGGGGCAGGGGTGTAGGGTAGAAAACAATATCACTTTCTGTGCAGACTACAAGAAATTGTAGGACAATGTAATAGAAAACACTTTGTTAAAAGCACCTTGTTTTAGCCAGGAAAAAAAATGAATTAGAGCTTCAGTATAAATTTTTGTGCTTTAACACATACAGATTGTAAAGGATAAACACATGGCTGAAAGCTTGGATATCTGAAATAAGTTACAGAAGTACCAGAAACATATTTAAATAAAATATACAAACTTTAATATTTTTCAGGAAAGAGTAAGAAACCACAAAATTATTACCAGATTATGAAGATATCCAACCACTTCAAAACCCTAAATTAATTTCCCCAGTCTAGTGTTCCCAAGATCAGTAATTCTCAAGTTGGAGTGTAAGTGTGCAGGAAGACCCTTCATCCTTTAAACTGGATGATTTGCTCAGCAGTTCTGCTAAAAGCTCCTGTTTTCAGTGGTGCACATATGTAGCACAGCAGGCTGGCTATGGAACCAGCATTATACTCAATTTCTGGCATTGCATAAGGGTAAGAAAATTTTCCCTATGCTGTGACATCTGCACAGTTTGCATTGCAGGAAAGATACCAAGTCATCTCATCTTAGTCCTTTACTAAGAGTTTGCTCTTTTTTAAATTTTGAAGAATTTTTTTTAATAATTCCTAAATTACTTTTAGGAATAGACAGTATTTGCAAAATGCCAATTTCATGGCCTGAATAAGAAAACCGTGGAAATTTTTTTTTTTTCCCCCCAATTCTGAATTTGACAACTACACTGAGGTCATCAATACCATGAGAACAGTCTCTTTAGCAGTATTTCAGTACTCCCACTTCCTCTCCCACCCAAGCCAGGAAGCAATGGAAGTTATGTAGGACAGAATGTTTCCACCCAATTTCCTATGCTGGGTGAGCAATTCAGGAAGGTAAACATTGTTCCCCAGGTGATTACTGTTATGAGGCCAGAAGCACAGACCCCCTGGCCTGAGAGAAGAGACAGCCTGGACACACTGGAAGAATGCTAAAATAACTGTGGAGAGCTGCAGATGAAATTGAGAGCTTTTGCAAACTCAGATTAGGCAAACTGAAAACTTCAGATCTACCAGCTGAGATTATCTGTGCATGCATGAGAGAAAAAAGGGGAAAAAAAATCTTCTCACAAGAACTGATCAGAGTGCAGTTGTGTTCTGTGATGGCAAAGCAGAAGTCACACTTCAGTTTGCACAGCCTGGTTAGGGTTGAGGTTCTCCTCCCTGCCAGGGCATCAGCCTTCCATCACATGCTCACATGCAAAGTACTGAACACACTGGGATGTGGTGGCTGGATTGGGTTCAGCCTGAATGAGTCAGGTTTTCCCTCTCTCCTGTGTTCTTAAAAAACCCCCAAAACCTAAGAAAGTTTCCCACAAGGTCTGCACGCTATTGCTGAAGTCCATCCACTGAGAAATTAAAATGGAGCAAGGTATCTTTCAAAGGTGAAGCAAATTCATTAATTCATAGCACTCAAGTCTTTTTCAGATTGGGAAGCAAGACACAACACTGTAAATTACTTGGGAATACACAACAGTGGAATTACACCTTATTTGCCCTCATGCCATTATTCACCCCATTCCTTGCCACTCAGCTATTTCCATCTCTGTGCAAGTGTTGATTTGCTCCTGAGATCTAGGTGAACATTACAATGCTTAATTGCAATGTTTTTACCACCATTAGCACATATAGCTAAGGCAGGGAGCTAAATTTTTCAGGAAAATGTTTAAAATCCTGACAACAGACCATCCCTGAAGCCACTAAATTCCTGTGACAGATCTAAGTAAAAGTTAGAAAATTTTGTTTTTCAAATCCCAGAATGATCCTGTAAACTCTGCAAGGACAAAGTTCATCATCTTTTGTGTGCCCCTCCAGCTCACACAGGTACAGCTGACATATTGTACTTGGCTAATATTTACAAAGACTTGAACACCTACACTTCACTGAGGGTACACTCAATTGTTACAGAAGGATCCACATTTGCAATGTACAGCTTATATGTCTACATATGCCTGAATACAAAAATGAACATTTTTATTGGGCAGTAGCAATAACTGAACACAAATATAAGGTGTTATCAAGAAAGGACTTGTTTCTACTCAGTTTTTTGGCCAATGCCTGAATGCCTTTATCTTGGATCCTTATGACAATCAGCAAGAATTTATACTCAAAGTTCTCAAAAGTATATTTATACTCATGTTCAACTGCACCCCCACTAAAAAAATAAAGTGTTCATTCATCCTTGTAGGAGGGAAGTTGACTAAAATGATAGACTGTAGCCATTTTCTCCTAACTTTGCCCACTGTCAGCTATTATTTACTCCTTTTTGTCCTTTGTATTCCCAGAGTAAGAAGTTTTGTTAAGCATGATGTTTTGTTAAGCTTTTAGCTGAGAACTTTACATATCTCTGGCATTGTGTAAGAGCAAAATATCAAAGTGCTGTCTGATTTCCCAGAATGAAATTAGTGAGAGCTCTGAAAGTGTGAAATTGGTGTCATCAGTCATTCATTGTTACTTTAGTAGGTACAAATCTAAAAAAAATGCCCTAGAGACTGAGAGTTAAAGGCTAATGATACTAGGCAAAAAACTTTGTGTTATATTTAAGGTTAAGAGAGTTACTCTTTCTATTCAAGAACAGTTTTTTACATTCTTGAAACTTGCATTTTCAAGGCTACTCTGATACGGTACCTTAGAGGAAAGTCTGTTTGTACTCATTCTAAAAAGCTACAAAAATTCAAACACTTATTTAATAAGATGTATAATTTTAAAGTTCACATCAATTTTAATGTAAAAGCAATGCCACTTCAGAGGTTCTCAGCAGGCAGCAAAAGCTTTCAAACTTATTTAAACACCAGCTGCATTTCAACAAAATGTCAGTTCCCCCAGTTCCACTGGTACAGGAAACTCCTGGGTAAACAGCCTCTTTCTCTGCTTTCTAATGGATGCCTGACCTATTTGTTGCACCACGGACACAATAGTGAAAGAATCCTGCTGCAGGCACTTAACAGAAGCAAACTAATAAAACCACAAGTTGCAAGGGTTTGCTAGTAGCAATGAGATTTATGCCACACCTCCCCAAAGGTATCCCTCATTCATTACTTATTTACTTTGAAACAAAGTAGAATGTCATGGTAAAACACTTACAGTTTTTAAGTCACAATACTGAAAGGAAGTATTGAGATGCTGGAGTCTAAATGTGCAAAATAATCCAAACTCATCCTCCTAGAAAGGAGTCAATTAAGATACAGAAAGACTTCCATAGCTCCTTTTCCTTTTAAAGTTGGTTATGAAGTTAAAGCAGCACTGCCACGAGTGGCAACTGATAATTGCCAGGTATAAAATGTATGTCAACCCTGAATTTCAGCAGGTATATGGAATATACACACTTCACCCCAACAGCACTCAATATGGATGCCTTGTTTGCCATACAGACAGGAGCTTTAAGTTGTAAACCTCAGACAGGTTATTCCATATAGCATGCTGTGTCCTCTTGAGGGCTGTCAGCTTGCAAATTTTACCACTTCTGATGTAGAAAAGGGATGAGAGGGAAACAAATATCCAGTAACAATAAAATACAGAAGGACCTTAATCTGCTTTGTCCCAGTTCTCAGCCTATTTCCTTATTCCAGCTCTGTGCCTGCCCTCTGGTTTCCAAGCTACATAAGGAAGCTGTAGCTCAAAGAAAATAGTTTTTAGAGCATGGACTACTCATTGTTAAGATGCATGACTGCATACTTGGCAAAGAAACAAACTGAGAATAAAGCTAAAGGCACAGTATTCATTTGGTATAAAGAGCACCATGGGCTTCAGAAGACAGATAATGGAGTTGAGTCTCTTTCATCCTTTTCTTAAGTACTTGACAATTCCTTAGGATTTGATAATTCTATCAAAGGGTAAGTGCACATACCTAAATGCTAGCTTGTAGGTTTTGTTTTTAATTATGTTTTGTTTTAATTATTAACATTAAAATTAGCTGGAGTTTATCAGATTGCACATTTGCATTGGCTGGGACCAGAGCAAAGATGATTTAAGTGCAAGTAGGGCAAAGTAGGAATGATATTAGCTCAAAGCAAGCCATGCATCTGAATGAAATTAGAAATAAAACCTGAAAATAACCCTAAGACTTTGCCCTGCAGGAGAGCTTCTCCATCTAGATTTGGGAATATGCTAGAATGTTTTCAGTCTGTGAATACATTATGATAGTTTTCTGTACCTCTGTGCTGCTCTGACCAAAAAATCAGCTCTGCCACAAATACAAGTTTCAGTTTCTGAAGTACCTAGTTTGGGTTTAAAGGCAGCAGAACTTTCAACTCCTTAACACAGAAATATTACATGGCAACAATCTTCTTATCAGGATGTATCAGCAAAGCTTTAGGTTGGGCCATGAACTTCTCCCCTCTCTTTAGGTTTAAATATATTCTTACAAAACAGAAGCTGCTGAGAATTCTCCCACCCTTGTGCACATGTAAGCTCCAGCAGGCTCTGCCACCTGCACCGTACTTTGGTGATGGCAAGGTCATTGCTTATCAAATTACCAATGCATTTCTCTGTCACAGTATCAAAATTCTACTTATTTCAGCAGGACTAGTTTCCTGTGTTATCCTGACTATTATTCCACCTTAAATCAGGACCATTAACTTGGATGTATAAATTGCTTCATGTGCTGGTACTGAAAGTATTGTCAGAAAAACTCTCTTGTGGTTAAGTCAGAGAGTGCTGAGGTGTGACTGCACTCCTGTCACTGATTCACAGCCCCACTGGGCATTGTTGCTTTCTCTCTGTAGTCCCCACTGAACTACTTCAGAACAGGTAAAAACGGATATTGAGTTGGTTTCCTCATTTGGAGCCAGAAGAATGAAGTGAGGAAAACCTAACACAGCTCATCCCTCTCCCACCCTCTCCCATTTTATAAGATGTATAAAATTATACCTCTTATTAAATACAGAACTCTAAATTAGGCATCAGTACAGGGGCCAAACATGGCCTTACAGGTAACTTGCAGAACAAAAAGTTTAATGAAGATGGCAAAGGAGAATCAGTCAAAATTGAAATGTTAAAGCTTTAGATGAAGATTTCATTAACCTTTTAGTATTTCTTGTGATTAAAACTGTAATGAGTTGCCATGAGAAGCTGGCTGTACCTCCTAAAAATTAGTTAAGGGTGAATATATATTTATATATTACACTATATGCCACCAGAAAAATCAATTTGATTTTTAAAACAGGTTAATTTTCTAAACCTTGATTTTGAAGAATAAGAAGACACAGTTTCAGGGGCAACATCAAGTCTTAAAGAAGGCACATCTGTGGAATGGCACTTTGCCTTTAAAAAAGTCCGAGCCCAGCTTAAATCCAAAGACTGATGACAATACCAGGCGAGACCCTTCAAAGCTTTACAGGGCTTCTGGGTGTTGCAACAATAACCACACATTTCTAATGAAGCATAATACCATCTTGTTAAGAAAACTGTTTGGAAAGCATCCTAATTTCATACCTCACAGCATCCAGTCTCTTGTTCTGTCGAATGAGTTCAATGAACTCCTGAATCCTTAGGCTGAACTCCAGACAGCTCTGAGATTAAAGACAAGACAGGGTCTTAGATGGTGCCAAAGTTGCACCCCATGGTTTGTTAACGTGTGCACAACAAAAAAGAAGTGTTAATAACATGCAACCTGGTTTGCTTGCTTTTAGGCATTCATGCAAAAAAATTTGAAATGCTGACTCTACAGACAAGATCAGCACAGAATTCCCTAAAAGCAAACAAAATCCTCCTCCTCTTGCCTCCTTTAAAACTTTGGCAGGGATGAATTTTTTCCTAATGACTGAAGGCCTTGTTACCTGAGTCACAAATGAGAGGAATAGGTGGTTTCCTTCTACTTTCTTATAATTTAAAGTAGTAGAGTCAGCAGGAGTTTGGGGCTATGTGATAATTTAGACAGGTCTACCCAGAACACTTCAAGGAAGAAACAAGCCTTTGAATGAATTTTGAAAAAACCCAATATTAATAAAAATTAGCACAACGTTTAAGTTGCTGCAATACCCTCCCTCCCTTTCTTCAAGCTTCTATCCCACTCCTCTTGTCAAACATCTAAAAGCCATGCTGGAAACAAGTCTCAAACAAGAAAACCAAGTGGCATTTACCTGTTTATGGAAAAAGGTAAAATTTGAAGCCTAACGAAGTTGAGAGTGTCCCTTTAAATCAAATGCCATCACCAGTTCACAAAATCTATAAAAAAACTTTGAATATGTGGAATTAAAAAGAAAAATATGTCCCCCCATAAAAGAACAAATCCTTATGCTTCTTTATAGGGACACAGTCAACTGTTTTATTACCTTATTAATAATGAAATCCCAAAGTGCTCTGAATCATGTAAAGAACTCTATTCCCTGTGTTCCTCTAGGCCACTTGTTAAGTGTTTTTTCTTCAACCATGTCTCTAATGAATAGTTGCCTTTTGTTTATTGTCCATCAGCACAGTCATATCAAAATTCCTCAGTGACTTCAGTAGGAATTTGAGCAACTCTGAATTTCTCCAAGTTAGCTGCCTGATGTGACTAATGCATACATTGCAACAACTGCTTATTTAAGACTTAAAACATAAGGCATTTAAACATAAAAATGATGCATTCTTTCATATGTTAAAACTAACTTGTTTAAGGAACAGAAAAAATTATCTTCCAAATATGCATTTTTCTGTATTCAAGCCCAGATTTAACAGCAAATAAAACTTTCTCCCCTTGAGATTTTCAATAGGACTATTTTAAAATACCTGGTTAACCAAATCTACACAAGCCCCTCATCTAGAATTTTAAATAAGCCTGTTTCTACTAAAAATCTGAACAAGCTTTTTAATTGTTAATGATACTAAGTCCCAGGGCTTCCTCTTTTGCTGGGATATTTCCATAGCAAATGTCCTCTTTTGCTGGGATGTTTCCATAGCAAAACTCACATGTCAAGCAAATGAATTTTTAAGTAAGGTGCAAGCCAATGGCCCCAGGGGTTCTGCAGACAAGTGTAACTAGAAGCAGAGAGCCCTAGACAATCAGATGCTGCACATTCCAACTCTGTATACTTCAAATAATCCCACAGCAGCCCTTCACAAGATTTCAGATTGCTCACACCTGAAGATTGCATGACTGCTTTCCAGGCCACCAAACAGTTTAGATTTTAGATAAGGCTTGCATTCAGGTAGGTGGTGGCTAGGATTTTAGAACATTAACAGAGATGAGTAGCTAAGCAACTAGAAGCAGAAGAAATGTTTGCTTTTCAAAAAGAAGCACAGTAATTTCTCATCTTCCAATTCTGATATCTCACAGCCTTAACTTGGTTTTTGTTTGATTAAAAAAGAAACAAAAAAAGATAACAAAAAAAGCATAAGGCTTGCAGAAATAGATTTTTGTTGTAGTTTTGTTTTTCAAAAAGAGGATGGGGAAGAGTCTTCCTTATTTACTGCTTGATGATGAATGTAAGATGTTCAGATTATATTTCTTGTATTACTTAACATTTTTAGATTACACAAGGGGGAATTTTTAGCAGTATAATTATGCAGTGTGGTTTACATACCAATTCTGGTTTTCCTTTAATGGTTTCCATAACAAGGTCATAATTTTCTCTAGAGTAATGACTGGCTGATTGACTCTTGCATCCCATCTTCAGCACGTTCTCAGTTTGGTGCCCCTGAGTGACAGAGAACGTCACTCTCTGCTTATTGTTAAGTGCACTCACACATTTTTGGTTAAAGAAAGCACTTAGTTTAAAGAAATAAGATAAAAACTTCTTTAAGGGAGGCATGGATTTTGGTTAATATCAGTTAAAAACAGATTTCTGCAAGCCCTATAAAAGATCACAGCATGTTTTGAAACACATAATTTAAGAGACAAGAAAATTTAAATGGAATGCATAGCAACAAGTACACAGCGTGTTCAGCTCATGGTACTTGATGGCTTGAGGAAGACTTTTTGTGTTTATTGCTTGAATAGATTCCAGCTTTTGTTTTTGTATTTTCTCCAAGCAAGTTAATTCTTTACTCTAAAGTTCTGTCTTCTTATATTCAAGAGTTTAAAATTACTAAGACTAAAATCTGCATGAAATTTCTCTCAGAAATTTTAAACCTGAGGGCAGAGATTAGCAATTAATCTTATTCTTTAGACACCTTCACATATAAAGTCTCACCAAGATGCACAGAATTATAAATTTAACTTTACATGCATCAAGACACTACATATTTTTGCATTTATTTGTTTTCAAATTACACTAAACCCAACTGAGTATTGTATTGTATTTGGGCATAATTTGTTGAGACAACACTGAATCCCGAAGATGACCTATCACTCACTTCCAGGTCCGGCATTTGTGAGCCTGTTTAGCTCCAACTACCTATGCCTTTTAAGAACATTTTTATACTTACTGTCCATACTTTTATACAAGACTTTTCAAGACCTGTAATTTAAAACATATTAACCACATCCAGCATCCAAGTAGTGTACACAAAATATTAAGCAAAATGTGAACATGTTACATTTTCATACCTTCATTTTTCTAAGTCTGGATTTGTTGTCATGACACCAAGCCAAGCAAGTCATAGTCTCTTGTCTTTCCAATGACTCTTCCACTTCTTTTGCAGTCAAAAACATCTCAATATTTACCAAATCCTTCACAAGACAAAAAAGGAAGGTGTTGTTAAATTTTACTCATACTTTACACAGCAATTCTTCAAATTAGCTGGAATAGCTACAAAAGACTAAAGAGATACAAAAGAGATACAAAAGACTTTGTTCTCAAGACTTCTGGATTTTAGAATTGTACTTTGCAAAAAGACATTACAGGATATTTCCATGGACTGGAATGTTCTGATAGTGACAACAGTACTGAGTCTAGTTACATAACAGAACTAGAATTTAAAAAAAAAAAAGAAAACTATTCAAGATTACACCTAGAGTCTTGCAGACTTTACATAACTTACATGCTTAATATCACAAATATTACCATAGCTCTAGTGAACAAAATCACTCTCAGAAATAGATGGCAATTTCATCTGTCAGAACAGCTAAATATACTTAATCTTAGAAGTTCTACCTTCCAAGAGAAAAAGCTGAAAATCAGAATGAGCATCAGCTATATATCACATTCACATCTGGCATTTCATAAGCCTTAGAAATACAGCTTTTCCTTAATAATACAGGAAGTCTAATACTATTGGGAAAGTAAACTAAATCATGTTAGGATTATCAGTATTGTTATTTACAGAAATTTAAACAAGCCACGTGTATTTCTGAAGTGCAGCAGAACTTGCAGCTTTTACTAAATCTCCCTCTCATTACTTGAATTTTAAAACCAAAACATTAACATTTATTTTACAGGTTGTATGACCAAGAAAACCATTTATCATCAAAAGAATAAAGGGCCTCCCACAGCTCTACTGGTATCAAATCCAGGTAAGTCAGACTGAGCTCAGAATTCAGACAGCTACAAGTTTACAGAACAACACTGAGACTGGATTTTAATGGGCTCTTCCCATACCTTTAGGGTTAAAAAAAAAAATCTATTTTATCGATGTGTTGGCAAACGGACTGAAAGAATGTCAACCTGTTCCACAACAGTATTTTTAAAGTATTCCTACAAGAACATGAGAATAAATCTTTTTGCTGGTCTGAGGTTTGCCTGATGATATGCTCAAGTGGAAAGAAAGTGCATTACTCCCCTGTGCGTGATAAGGTGACCATATAAAAACCTCTTGCCCATTAACTCATCTGTGTAAGTAGCTTGAAAACATAATGCAGTCATATTAATTATCTTGCTTGCATTCCATACAGCTGCTGAGTGGAAAGATAGCTCCATTTAAGTTACAAACAATATCATCTCTATACATCTCCTCAAACTTATTTGAGCTATGTGCCCTCAGCATTCACTTTTACACCAAATTAAAACAAAAGCATTTGGTTTTACATCAAAAAAGGGCTGGATCTGCTAAGCAGAAACAAATCACTGGTTTATTCTCATTTGTTAGCTTTTTATAGTTTAAGCTTCATTAAAAAAAAAAAAAAAAAAAAAAAAAAAAAAAAAAAAAAAAAAAAAAAGCACAACAGCAGCATTTGATAAGTCCATGAGCTGGTGAGAGATTCCCAGCTATCTGTATTTATCAATCAGGTGTTGGTATAGCAGCCCTCTACTATGAACAAAAAGACAGCAATTGCTTCTGAGGCAGACAAAACTCTCAAATAAAAAGCGAATTTCTACATTGTGTTTGAAAATTTAAAATGAAAAGGTTCTATGTAACAGAAATGCTAATTAGATTCCCGGCTGCCAAAAGAAGTCAAAGCTTGGCAGCTTTCTCTATTAAATAGACAGTATGTATCCAGAAAACAGAGGAGAACATTTTAAATTAAAAGAGTTTCTTTCAGAACCAATAATTACATTTAAATTGCACCAATAAATAGGATTTTCTTCTCTGTTGACTTGATAGAAAGTTAAGGAACAATATAAAAAAGGCATTAAGAAATCCTTTTGTAGAGGCAGGAATAGCTTTTGCATTTGATTAGAAGTAGTTAGAAGTCTTAATCATGCAGACTGATTACTACAAAAATACTAAGACACAATTAGGCAATAAACCTTTAAAAACTCCACATGCCACATAGGTTTGATTTTTTAATCCAATCATACTTTCCTATCTTTTCTGGTGGTGCCTGCTCTTGGTGCTTCTTCCTTAGCTAGGACTAAGGAAACAGAAGAAAGGAGTATCAGAGGAATTACCAAAACTAGCACAGCTCTTCTACACAGGCAGTCGGGAGTACAGCTTGTCTACCTCATCTTGGATGGACAGGAACCAGTTGAGCATTTGTAACAAGTTTCTCATGTTCCCGTCAAAAAAAACCCCTATTAAGACCCCAGTCGTGAATAGCCTTCTGAAAGTATTCTGCAATTCCGAGTTGTACAGGCTGCAGACCATAGAAACATTGTCTTTCTCAGCTCCCAAAACAGGATTAAGATCTCACAGGCTGCTACAAAGTGCCTCTCTTATATAATTTACATATAAAATTGAGTAAATGTAAATACACAATTTTAGAGAAATACTGCCACTTGATTTTGCAGGTGCAGAAAAAGCAGAAGCAAGAAATCTGTTGCCACACACTCCCCCTTGAAATGACACAGTATTCAGCACCATGGCAAATGTTTTCTAACTTGTATATAAACTAAGAAGGAATTTTAAACTCTTTAATCACCCTCTTTACAACAGTAATGTCTCCCTTCATTTCACACTTTCAGGGCTGCAATACTTTCCTGCCACTACTGCAGAACTAAGGAAAACCCTACCCCATACACAGATTATTTCAGTGCTGGGATCAAACCATAACTCTTAGCACAGACTTTCCAGCTTCCAGTGTCCTGTCATAGCTTTGCCTAAATCACTTGATTACAAATACACAATACCTGAGATTGGGCAGGAAGATTGAGTTACATGAAACTTACATTTAATTCTACAACTGTACTGCAAAATAGTCTCAAATGTCTCATGGAGAACTCGCTCCATTAGTATTATCCAAACATGCATGGGGGGAGCACAGTACAAACCAGGGAGTATCACCCGGATTTTATAATTTCTGCTTTAAAAAACAGTATTGGACTAAAGTGAACTAACTTTCCCTTCTATACAACAGTCACTAGCCAGGTTTTAGAAGGGTAACTATCTCAACACTGGGTGAACTTTATCATAAAAGAACTATTTAATTCCATTATAACAATGAAAACTCCAGAGAAAGACACTTATTATTAAAGAAAACTGCACATGAAGGCTGAAGACACTTTAGTGAAAGCAGAGACACTTATTTAAACAAGAATACAGCTATCACCCTGTGCTCTGCCTGATTTACATATATATAGCTTTTAAAATATCACTGCTTCTTTTTTAAGCTGCAAGTGCCTCCAGGGAGGGAGGTTACCAACTCCGTGATTCTGCACAGAACTCCAATTATTAGGTATAAAATACTAAGAAGAATGAGGATGCCTTTAAGATGATGATTACTAGATACATACTCCTGGCCAATATAAAAGGTGGATCCCATTTGCTCAGATGGGATCTTAGCAACAACATCCCAAGCATGTTCATGCACATCCCCCTCTGGAGCTTCTGCACTCTGGTGAGTGTGAGCAGGAGCTGATGGGCTGAACTCTCAGGGCAGCTCCCTCCTTGCCAGGGTGCCTTCCTCAGCACTGCCTTGATTTCAGCAGAGACCAGTGCCTGCCCTCACTGGAGGGAAAGACTGCAGCAAAACCGAACACTAGTCTGAGAGAACAAGAAAAATGGACCCAAAACTTAATGAATTTATGTGGTTGTGTCACAGAAAAGAAGAAATTATTCACAAAAATACAGTGAAGACTGTGAAGAATAATAGCTGTGAAATGATGACAAGGTATGTATAAAGGCAGTTAGGTAATTTGGTTTAACTGGCAGATATATAAGCTTCACATGAATTTAAAATTAAACACAGCTACATCTATTATAAAGTTGTGAACCAAACTGGCAAATATATATATAAATGCAAATTTAAACTAAATTTAAAGCCAAACAAAGGCTGTAACTTTAGATTGTGCACAATTAAGAGAATTCAGCAATGAACTGGAAAAAACCAAACCTCTACATGTGTGGCTCTAAATTCACCATGAAAACTGCTCAAAATTTTCAACGCCAGATGCAAAAATAGCAACTTTGCATTAGATCGTATGCCAAATGACTTAGAACAAAAACATCTTTTCTGCAGTAGCAAAATAACTACAGAAATTAATGTAGCGTTCACATGAGGATTTTTATATAACATTTTTAAATTTGGAGCAGTCAGGGCAAGTCATTCCTCTCCACTGGTCTCCACTATGCACATGAGCTGAAGTACTTTTTCTTTTTGAGATCTCCAGTCACAAGTCTAGAAAGTTATGAGAAGGAATGTGTGATAAAATCCCTTATAATTCATATGAACATTTATGTATTAATATAACCCCCAGAATATTTCACATTAGAAATGTGAATCTTTAACAAGGCTCAAAACCAACCAGAAGTGAGTACTTGAACTTGGTATTTTCAAATCTCCCATAAGCTATTCTCAAAACAAGATTAATTCATCAAAAAAAGAAATGTTAGGCTTAACCAAGATAAAATAGAAGATTTGATTAAGTGAGAAAAGGCAGCATTTTGTGGAAAAGAAAGTTTCCTCAGCAGAGAAAAGCATCATAAAATAAGCTATTTGTTGTATAAAATAAGCAATTCATAATATCATAAGATGCTGTTTATGCATTTTTTCAAAAATGCAAATTGTTTATTTTTAATTGCTTACTAGCATCAATATGAAATTGATAATAGGCCAATATGCCTCAAGCTACCAGTGGCTCATTGCCAAGAGTATGTACCAATAACAGCTTTAAAAAGATTGACTATCTATACACGTTAGATGCATAACAGCACTACCCTCATAAAACAGCCTTTGCTGACGCACTTCAGTGTTCAGCAGCATGGTAAACTACTTGTATATGAAATACAATAAACACTTAGATCACTCAAACAACTTCAGAAAAAGCCGTGTTAAGCTTTTAATGACTACTCACATACTCTCCACACAACCTTCAGTATAATTTAGTTCTATGGAAGTGAAATAGAAATGCACTA